CTTCATTCTATCCTTCTGTTCTGCCCTTGGGCCACTTTGTACATACTTCTACATGTATACAATTGCTTCAACTTCCCAAAAAAACATAAATGATAAGCCTCTTGGTTATACAAGCCTCTCTTTTTTTTCTGTTTTTTTTCCCCACAAATAAACACAAACTCTAGTATGCACATTCCCGTGTGCACGTGTGAGATTATTATAGTCATGCACAAAAAATGTCATTTTCTAACATTCATGTGAAACGTAGAGGACTTTTTTTTTCCCCCTAGAAAGAAATTAATTTGTTAAAATAATCAGAATTGAGATTCATCTTCTCTTAATTGTTGAAGATTAGTCTTTAAACACAACCATAAATGAGCTTTCTGCAAGCATGGTTTTTTTTTTATCACTATTGACTTTTAGGTAGTTGTAGCTAGAAATGGATCCATCTTTGAAACAACTATCTGGGCTTTTGGGTTTAGTTGTATGTTTGGGCCTACTAGGCCTTATTGATTGTAAAAGGGTGCTCATTGGGTATGGGCCCTTTATACCTGTTTTATTACTGTCGGGCTAATGGCCATTGGGCTGAATTCTATGTCCTTTGGGCCACTTTGTACATACTTTTACATAGACAATTGGTTTAACTTCGAAAAATAATAGAAGAAGAAGAAAAAAAGAAATGGATTCATCTCAACATGTGCACACGGTTTGGTACGATTTTTGACGAAATCAAGCTGAAACTCAACAATTCCAAAAACTCAGAATTGGTGAGGATTTGGAACCGAAGCATCAGTTTGGTTCAATTCCAATCGGTTCTCCGATTCCACTGCTTCTTTGTACACCCCTAAATTCATCTAACACCAAAATTAAAAACGAAAATGATCAAATTCAATTAAGATGCCATTGAAACCTTCTTCTCCAAGTCCAATTTGATCGAGAAAATGGGTTATTCTTGGTCATTACAAGAATATGTTTAAAATTTATTTTAAAACCATATTTTTAAAAAAAGTATTTAAAAACCATCATTGTTGTCATATATAATCTACTGTTTCATAATACCACGAAATCCTTTACCCTCTCATAGGCTGTATTAATAAATCATCTATGTATACTCCTATAAGAATGGAGGAAAGGTCCCCAACTTCTTAGGGTACCAAGTAAATTGTACGACCTCTTTATTTTCATATATAGTCTTATAAAACTAACAGGTCAAATGTGGCAAGTGAAAGACAGCCACACATTAGATTCCCAATTCTGATAGTCCTCTATGAATACGAGAGGATGGAGATCATCTCACGCAGGGCAAAAGTCTACTCGATTTGTGAGCGATGACACGGGTCACACCCTATATCTAGTGTTTCTGTGCACTGAAACATGGTCCTAATTCTTAACCACAACATGGCCGAGCGGCAAATTCGGTACTAGGGACAATGTAATTAAAGAATTGGCAATGTACAGTACCACTACTCCCAAGTTAGGTAGTTGGGTGTTTGAATCTCTTGATATTGAAAAATCCATGAGAAACATAATGTTTGAATAAAAGCACAACAACAAAATCAGATGTGGGAGATCCTGCTTTTTTACATATGCGTTTGGGACGCCGACATATCTGATTCTAATTTCATATTCCAATCCCGAATAGACAAAAAACACAAAGTTAAGATGTGTACTGTTTCCAAACACCACCCCAATTATTGTAAAGATTGTTTAAAGTTGTTTTTTGGGTAGTTAGCTATGTGCCTTTCCAAGTAAACGCAATTCTCACTTGATCAAGAACTCACCCTAGCATATAGCCGAAAAATGGCCACACTAAGTTATGTTCATTTGCTATATATATATATATATTATGTGTGTGTATATATATATATATTATGTGTGTGTATATGTGTGTAAAAAGTGGGTTGATGGGTTATTTTCATTGAGCATCCTCCACCAACTTACCAAATTTATCATCCACCAATACCAGAGGACAAAAAAAATCAATCATTTTCCAAGAAAAGCCGACAGCACAAAGTAATGTGAGGGATTTTCTCACAACAAATTAATAGGACACCTACAACTACAAACCGATGCTCAATCATCATCAATATTATTTTTACAAAATTATATGACTCTTTTCATATCAGTGTTCTATCATTTTCGTATTTTGACTCTTATAGAATCAGTGGACTATAGTTACAAAAATAAGTAATCATAACGATTAAAAACAGTGTTCAATCATCATCAATATTTATGATATATGGCATTTAAAAGTTAGACATATCCAAAAATGACTAAACAAAATTATTAAAACCATTTTTAATTTGAAAGCATTCAAAGGTAGTTGGTGCAACATCACTAGCTTTAACTACATTTCCACAATAAACGAAAGAATAATGCTAAATGTATCGAAGCACATTAATTGAAATTGTGAAACAAGGTCTTAAGACATAAGCTTAAGGAGATTTGAATTCCCGAATACCATATTTGACTATAAGTTATTAGATTGTCATTCCAAATTCAATCAATTTGTTTCGTGTAGTGATGTTTAGAACATGCACTTGAGTAGATTTGAATTTCGGATCACTATATTTGACTATAAATTATTACATTGTCATTTCAATTCCGATTTGTTTCTTGTAGTGATTTTTTAACAATTAGCTTTTATTACCTTTTAATTCTTTTCACTTTATATTTTGATCACTAATTGTGATTAATTTGTACACAATTCCCCTACAATAGATGAATGACAATATAATAACTCTACATTAAATAGATCCCTATTAAAACATTCCATTTATTTATTTATTTATTTATTTATTTTTAGGGTTTAAGGATGTATCATCCCTTTTATTCATCATTTAAAGAAAAATTAAGGTATTTATGAGGCTGGCTTTTTTCTTTTTTCTTTTTTTTTTTTTTTCTTGCAAAGCAAGAAATGTTAGATATTAGATACTAGATGCTAGATGCAGAATGTCGAATTCAAGCATTCCAAGATTCACAGGAGGCATTAATCTACTAAATTATCAAAGCAATTACATTTATGAGGCTTGTTAATTAGGCTTATTAATAAAAGTGTATTCTTTATAAATTTTATGTTCCACTTGATTCCAGATGCCGAAATTTTTATTAGTTCAAAAATGATGTTTAAGGACAAAGAAGATCTCTAATGATTTAAACAAACTTTGATTACGAAAATGAGTAGTAGGTAAGCTACAGATCATCATGACTACATTCAACATTAACAATAATAATTTCAAAATTGAAACCATATTGGTGTGATTTTGATATCGAAATATAAGATGTTACAAGAATAATGATACTATATGCATCACTAAAATGCATTTCACGTTTCTAATTCAACCACGACGATTACATTATACAACTAAAAAGATTGATATAATAAGATCAAAGGATTCTAATGATCCAAACAATGACAAATTTTTTATATATCAGCCATAAATTTGAACTAGTTGTACTAATCTTGAAACAAGGTGGTAAATCATTTTTTTTTTACCAAAAAAATATTTGTTTTATTAATAATTTGAGAGTTCACCTTTCACCTTAGAATATAGAGAAGATATAGTAGACTAAAGCTGCAAAAGCTATATATATATATATTATGTGTATGTATTCCGTTTTTTTCTCCCAAGTTTCTACTCTCGAATTGGGATGTTTGTATTGCCAGTGTAAAAATAAAATAAAATTAGTAGTGCGAAAATAACATTTAATGAAATATATAAATTGTAAGTAACTTTTTACAATATAATTTTTTTTTCTGTATATATTTTTTATAAAAATGAAATTTTATCAATTGAATTCCTTTATAATAAAGGTTCCAAATAAGAAGAATGGAAATAAGGATTTTTTTTTTTTTTTACTTCATTTTTCTATTGTTATTTACTTTTCCCTCCAAATGAAAAGTTTCGAAAATAAGGTAAAAATGAGTTCAAATGAGCGCCACAAATTAAATATTTTTTATGATTTTTATTTTATTTTTTATTTTTCAAAATTTTGGGGGCTCATGTCCCCATGTAGATCCGCCCATCCTTTTCAATAATGGAACCACATGATTGCACTGTTGTAAGAGGTAGGATTTTACAATCAAATTTAAGGTTGAATAGAGTCTATTTGAATTTGAGTTCGGTTTCAAACTATTTGATTTTGAATTTAACTAGCAAACTTGAGCTCGAGTCGAGAGTTTAAATTTATTTTTAACATTATTCTTGACGTTGAAGTTTAGTTTGTTCGATTTATTTAGACAATTTCAAACACAAATTTAATTTATAGGTCAAGATCAAAAAGTTTACAGTTCTTTTAATTAGCGTATTCAAAAGTCAATTAAGAGTTGTTTAGACTCAATTTGTTTATTAAATAAATGTTAAATATGAGTTCGAATTCAATGCGTCTTTTAATAAATGAGTTTGAGTTAATTTTTACTTTGTGAAACTTAAACTTAAACTTAAAATATTTATAAAAAGTTGGACTTGGTTGACTCCCAGTAAAATGTGATTACATATTTAACTTGACTTTTTAAATTAATTGTAATTATGATAAAGAAATAAAAATAATAAAACAATCTCTGAAAAAATGATTCCTGCAAAAATATATATAAAAATTCTAACTTGACTTTTTAAATTAATTATAATTATGACAAAGAAATAAAAATAATGAAACAATCTCTCTGAGGATCATTCTTGAAAAAAATATATAAAAATTGGGTTCAATTGAGTATTCAGCAAAATGTGATTACTTCATTAACTTGGCCTTTTAAATTAAATGTAATTATGACAAAGAAATAAAAATAATAAAATAAACTCAGACTTGAAAAAATGGTTCTTGCGTATTTAATTTGGTCTCTTACATTAAATGGACTAATAAATTAGCTCAACAAAGAATCAAATAGACTTTGAGAGATTTTACCATATTACTAGTTAAATATGGTTAGATGCACTTAATTTGACGGCTGCTCTTAAATCTCTCTCTCTCTCTCTCTCACACACACACACACACACACACACAAAACACAAACACACTCGCACATACCTTATATTGAGTGATTCTACTGATAACCCTTTTACACACACACAAACACATACATATATACACATTCATCCGCTTCTCTCACTCTGGCATCTGCGTTCGTTACAAAACTGCACATAAAGACACCCTCTTTCTCTCTCTCTCTTCTTCGGTGGGAACGTGCTGCCAACATTCAGCTCACCTACCTCTTTCTCTCTCTAACCAGTCTTCCTTCCTTCGTTCAAAGGATTCTCTCCTATATCCCTAAATTTCAGCGTAACGTACGAGTTGTGGGCTCCACTTGGGCACTCCCACACCATACTCGACCTCCCTCCTGACAATGTCGTAATTGGTCTTGCCAAAACTCACCAACAAACCTCCAACGCACTCTGTCTCTGATGAGCCTGAGCCTGGCGTTTTATGATTCTCTGCTGCATTGGGTCGTCACAGATTGGTACCATTCATGGCTCTCAAGGCTGTACCCATCTGGGTTTCTTCGAACAATTCTCATGTCCAATTGGGTTTTTCAGAATTGGGGACCAAGCGTTATGGGTCTGGTTTGAATCTGAGGTTCGATCTTGATAGGTATCGGAAGTGGGAGTGTTGTGGGTTGTTGTTGGCTCAGAGGGCAATTAGTCCAGTTGAAGATGAAAAGCCATTAACGCCTGGGTTGGAGTCACCTGGTGAGACTGATCAGACTCAGATCACTGAGTCCAGGGGCTTTCATAAGGATTTGAACTCTCTTCCTAGTGAGTTAGTTCAATTGGGTTCTTGGAGTTACATTTATCTACATATATGTTATTGTCGATTCTCACTTAGTTCAATTGGGTTCTTGGAATTACATTTATATATATGTTATTGTTGATTTTAAATTTGCAGGCTTATAAGCTTTAATACTGCTAAATTTCTATTTGAGGCTTAAAAAGATTGAATTTTTAACAGTTGCATGACTCATTTAGCATGAATTCGGAATGCCGAATAAATTTTCAGTTGGTAGCCTATAGATAGATTGATTGTGTGTAGAGGTTTTTAATGCTTATAGGTTATTATCTTTTAGCTTCTATGTTTTACCAGATCCAAATGGTTTCATTTAGGTGGCATTAGACTTTATAATGATTGGCATTTACCATTGAGTGCTCCTTTGCCATTTCATGTTGTGGTTTTGAATATTAAACCAGGTGTCATGAAGACCTGTACTGTGTCTTTTTGAATGTCATTACTATGATATTTTTTGGATATCCAATTGTGCAACCATCATGTGTATGTGTTCGAGGAAAATTAGGTTTAAAATGCATGAACTTGTCTTATCAGGCATGTATATTGATAAGATGATGTTTCTGCATTATAATTGGGGTACAAATTGATCACTCCATTATTTCAGCATCCAATTGGCAATCATCAACGGATGCATGCGACAAATCTTAGGTTTAAAACACACGATCTTGTCGTATTTGGCAAACATATTAATAAGTGATGCTTCTGCAGTATAATTGGAGTACAATGACCACTTGGTGGTAATAGTCAAGGTTCCTGTCCTCCTTATCCATAGTGAATCCCAACAAATAATTCTAATCAGGATCCATTCCTAAGCTTAATACTGCTAGATTTCTATTTCATGCTTAAAAAGATTGAATTTTTAACAGTTGCATGACTCATTTTCTTTTATGTTTTTCCTTTTTGATTGTCATGATTGTGAATCACAACAAATACTGTAATCAGGTTCATTTCCTAACTTTGACTACAGATAAATGGGCTTCGATTTTTCTTATGTAGTCATGGCCTGACATGGTAGGATTGCATTTTTCCATATACTGCAAATGATATTATTAGTGACAGAGCAAGAAAATTATTTGAGAGGGGTCGGCCTTGAACAATAATAAGATAAAAATAATTTAAGCTACCATAATAAACAAAAAAACTTTAACTTAATAAATATTTTCATTTAAAATTGCTCATACTTCTGTTTCAAAATTTTATTTTTTTCAGTAAAAGCTCTAATTTCAATTATAGTTAGCCTATAGATAGATTGATTCGGTGTAGAGGTTTTTAATGCTTATAGGTTATTATCTTTTAGCTTCTATTTTTGACCAGATCCAGATGATTTCATTTAGATGGCAATAGACTTTATAATGATTGGCATTTTACATTGAGTTCTCCCTTGCCATTTGGTGGTGCGGTCTCATGAAGACCCATAATGTGTTTTTTTGAATGCCATTATGATGATATTTTTAGGATATTCAATTGTGCAACCATCATGTGCATGTGTTCGAGAAAATTAGGTTTAAAAAGAATGAACTTGTCATATCAGGCATATATATTGATAAGATGATGTTTCTGCATAATAATTGTGGTACAATTGAGTCAATTGACCACTCCATTATTCGGGTATCCAATTGGCAGCCATCACATGGATGCATTTGACAAATCTTAGGTTTTTTTTTCCTAATTACAAATCTTAGGTTTAAAAATCTTATTAATATGTAAATAAAAAGCATGATCTTGTCGTATTTGGCAGATTTTTTTAAAAAACATGATCTTGTCGTATTTGGTAGACATATTAATAAGTGATGCTTCTCCAGTATAATTGGAGTACAATGACCACTTGGTGGTAATAATTGAGGTTCCTGCCCATATCCACAGTGAATCCCGACAAATAATTCTAATCAGGATCATTTCCTAAATTTGACTACAGATTATATCTACTTCTATTTTGCTACGTTTTTCAATTCTCTAATATCGGAATCTTTTTTGCTATTACTCTCAATCGTATATAACATATTTTTATATTTATATTTCCTCTATCTCCCCCGAACAGTCCAATTTTTCCTCCACGTCGATAAGGGGCCAAAAGTTTGTATATAGGCATGGCCTGACCTGGTAAGATTGCATTTTTGACATATATTACTGCAAACTTGGATCATGATAACGGCCTAAGGCATTCTAGTGAATTATAACAAAATTGAAGTACGTTTATCTGTGGAAATGATCCTGATTACAGTATTTGCTTTGATTCACAACAATGACAATAAAAAATGAAAGGCAAAAAAGATAGCTATAGGTGATACTCTATGTGTTGAGTCACAACCACAACAATATTTGTCGTGATTCACTAGGATGCCTCGGTCTGTTATCTTGTTCGAAGTCTTGTCTTAATATAGAGCATTATATGTCAAAAATGCAATCTTGCCGGGTCAGGCCAATAGAATGAGATGGAGGGGCTGGTCAGTGAACTCCTCTCTAAAGAGAACACCATGAAAGCAGAAACGAGTCGATGAAGAAAGAAAAAGCAGTCGTAATATAGAGCAGTATATGTCAAAATGGCAATCTTACCACATCAGGCCATGAATACATACAATGTAGCATAAGTGATCGAACAAGATAACGGCCAAAGGCATCCTAGTGAATCACGACATATATTGTTGTGCTTGTGAACCACGACAAATAAGGACTATGCTCTATATTTATCTTTTATGCTTTTCCTTTTTGATTGTCATGATTGTGAATCACATCAAATACTGTAATCAGGTTCATTTCCCAACTTTGACTACAAATAAATGTACTTCGATTTTTCTATATTTTATGTAGTCATGGCCTGACCAGTAGGATTGCATTTTCCCATATACTGCAAGTGATATTATAAGTGACAGCCAGAAAATGATTTGAGAGGGGTCGGCCTTGAACAATAATAAGATAAAAGAATTTAAGCTACCATAATAAACCAAAAAAAAAAAAAACTTTAACTTAATTTCAAATTAAATTTTTTTTTTCAGTAAGAGCTCCAATTTCAATTATAGATAGCCTATAGATAGATTGATTCTGTGAAGAGGTTTTTAATGCTTATAGGTTATTATCTTTTAACTTCTATTTTTTACCAGATCCAGATGGTTCCATTTAGGTGGCAATAGACTTTATAATGATTGGCATTTTCCATTGAGTGCTCCATTGCCATTTGGTGTTGTGGTTTTGGATATTAAAGCAGGTCTTGTGAGGACCTGTACTATATATTTTTGAATTCTATTACTACAATATTTTTTGTATATCAGATTGTGCAACCATCATGTGCATGAGTTCGAGAAAATTTAGGTTTAAAAAGCATGAACCTGTCGTATCAGGCATGTATATCAATAAGATGATATTGCTGCATTATAATTGGGGTACAAATTGATCACTCCATTATTTCGATATCCAATTGGCAATCATCACATCGATGCATTTGACAAATCTTAGGTTTAAAAAGCATGATCTTGTCGTATTTTGCAGACATTAATAAGTGATGCTTCTCCAGTATAATTGGAGTACAATGACCACTTGGTGGTAATAATCGAGGTTCCTGCCTATATACATAGTGAATCCCGACAAAAAATTCTAATCAGGATCATTTCCTAAATTTGAATACAGATTATATACTTTGATATTGCTACGCAATGTTAGTTGTGGCCTGGCCTGGTGAGATTGCATTTTTGACATATACTACTAGTCATATTACGACAAAACTTTGAACATGATAACGGTCTGAGGCATTCTAGCAAATCACGACAAATATTGTCGTGCATTTGACTCATGACAATTTAGGACTATCCTCTATAGTTATCCTTTATGCCTTTCCTTTTGGATTGTCATTATTGTGAATCACAACAAATAGTAATCAGGATCATTTCCCTACTTTGACTACAGATATACTTCAATTTTGCTACATCGTATGTAGCCATGGCCTGACCTGGTAAGATTGCATTTTTTGACATATACTGTTCTGTATTACGACAAGACTTCGAACATGATAACGGCCTAAGGGATCCTAGCGAATCACGGAAAATATTGCTTTATTGCCGTGCTTGTGAATCACAACAAATAAGGACTATGCTCTATAGTTATCTTTTTTGTCTTTCCTTTTGATTGTCATGATTGTGAATCACAGCAAATATGTAATCAGGATCATTTCCCAACTTTGACAACAGATAAATGTACTTTGATTTTTCTATATTTTATGTAGCCATATATAGTCATGGCCTGACCTGGTAGGATTGCATTTTTTCATATACTGCTAGTTATATTATGATAAAACTTGAAATGATGATCATGGCCCACAGTACCCTAGTTTGTTACAGGGACAACGCTATCCTGTTTTCTTTTGTTTCCTTCCTTTTTGATTGTGTACTATTTTAAAGCTTATGTACATGCATAAATTGCAGGACCCTTGTCTGCAACAGATATTTCTTCATCTCCAGGTGATGGTTCAAACGTGCGGGTTGCATATCAGGTATAACACTCATAAAAAAATTTCTCCTGAACGTCCTCGGCTTTCTTTTTGTTCTCATTTTGGTTTAATTGCCTGATGTAGGGGATACCAGGTGCATACAGTGAGGCTGCTGCACTTAAAGCATACCCCAAGTGTGAGACTGTCCCTTGTGACCAATTTGAGTCTACATTCAAGGTTCAATACGTTCTTAATATGTAATTCAAATTCTAAAGTGGACTTGTCCTTTGTTGCTACTTAAAATGTTGATTTTTATTTCACAGGCAGTTGAACTGTGGTTGGTCGACAAAGCAGTGCTACCCATTGAGAATTCTGTAGGTGGAAGCATCCACCGGAATTACGACTTACTCCTTCGTCATAGGCTGCATATTGTTGGGGAGGTGCAGATGATTGTCAACCACTGCCTTTTGGGGTTGCCTGGTGTTAGAAAGGAGGAGCTAAAGCGTGTATTGAGCCACCCTCAGGTTTACCATTTTCTTTTTCTTTATCACAAGTTGTAAAGTATTTTGTTTTTTTGTTAGTTAAAATCAAAGCATACTAGTGTGATGTATAACCTGTTTCAAATGAAAAAGTATTGGTGCTCGTCAATGTAGGGTAAAAAATGCCAGGGAGTTGCTCTTTATGCCCATATCTCTAGAATCTGTCTCATCAGATAACCATAGCTGCTTCTTGATACAGCTGAATATCTGAAAAGAGTGGCATGAAAAGATAAATAAAAAGCGACAATGGTTCTTTTTACACACTAGGTATATACTGGAAAACAGAAGCGATAATATAAAGACCCTGTTGTGTATCCCATTGTTATTTTGGACCAATAATTTTTTTTCTAATAGATTATGTCAGCTACATGGCATTTCGATATCCAGATGCATAAAAAAGTGTAGCAAGGCAGGTTCTTTATGCAGATAACATATTTCAATTCTAATGGAAGATTTAGGGCCTGCTTGGATCAGTTCTCAGTTTTCAAGAATGGTTTTCAGAAAATCAGAACAAAAAAGAGTTTTCAGTTTTTTTAGTTTGAAATCTGCTTGGTTGAAAAAATTACAAAACAGTTTTCAGAGAACAAAAACTCAGCAATCTGTTTGGTTGTATCTACTGAAAATGATTTTCTGAATTAACCAACTCATTTATTTTACACAAAATTAGCTACAAAATCATGAAAAAGAGATGAATAATCCAATTACATGAAAGGATGCCAACTATAATCAATATTTGAATATTTACTATAGACAAACATCTGATCTGAATACATCCATCCTAATATAGTAATACTGCCAATTGATTCAGATTATATGGTATAGGTCAAGTAGTTATAATTCAAAATTTGAAGCATTTGTCTAATTAGCAGTGTGGTCCATGGACTTATATTTGAAAATAGAAAGTTAAAAGCAAGGAGAGAATATAAATTGTAGAAGTAATAACAAATTGGTGAACAATCATAAGGGACTTGTTATTTTTTTTTTTCCTAGTTGGTACTCACACGCACATGCCTCCACTGAAACTCGAACCCCTGACCTCTCTTTGAGAAGTAGGGGCCTGGTACCGCTAGGCCATTGGCGTGTTGGTTAAGGGACTTGTTATTAGATCAATTGTAAACAGCATTTTCAAGGTTTAGTTTGTCAAACATGAACCCATCGATACAAATAAGGGAACAGAATGTCAGATTTAGATGTGGGCACTTCTTATTAGCATTGCTTATGAATATTATTAGCTTTAAGCATTAGAACTCAGAGATGAAAAATGTTTCCAATTGCAGACGTCAGCAAAGATCCTTGGAAATTATGAACCTTTGTGATATCCTTCACCAAACAAGATACAGTATTCCCCTTCAGACAATATATTATGAATAATCATTTAAGAGCAGTGATCAATTCTATACCCCCCAAATCACTAATGTTTCATATTCATTATACCAATCCATCTATCGATTCTATCTATTGCAGAAGTAACAAAAATATCATACAATCCTCAACCATATGTTCTAAAATCCTAAACTATCTACAAGAACTCCATGGTTTGCAGCAAAGTATAGGCCTATTGCTTCTTTCTACACTACCAATTGAGGATTTATAAAGAAACCGAGAGAGGGACCCTCATACCTCAACTATAGTAAGAATCATTGATTCGGCCAAAAAAAACCAATGTGTCATGGACTTTCGAGGATTTCATATTCAATTCTAAAATACATCTAAAGCCCCGTTGTGTTATTCTGTGTCTTCCTAACAAAAGCTCAATAATTTCCTCCATCCCCACCTTTGTATCATCATCAAAAGCAAAACTACATTTTGTTTTCCATAACCCAAAACCAGACACTTCAGAAATTTGCTATTCCGAACCCTTCTCAGCCGAATTCTGCTTGGACTCAGCTGACGACAACATTGACGCAACCACCTCTTTCCCTTTCTATCTCTCCAATTCCTTAACAGCCACCTCCTCAGCCGCCTTCTCCGCCTGCAGAATCAGCCCGTAGCATTCCAGACTTCAACATCCCAGTCACCTTGAAACACTTCTTGACAATGTCTTATTTGCTCTTCTTGGCTTCTTGGACATAGTTTTCCCAAGCAATGAAGCTGTCTCTGCATCCACCTCCTTTCATGAACAAGCATAACGCACACTCTCCATCTTCTTCATATTCACCTTCCTGATTTTTTTCTAGATTGATTTTGTCCTTGACCTTCTTCATTAGGTTTCTGGGGATTTGGGTTTAGAGAAGAAGCACAAGACAGAGAGAGATCAACTATGGTGACTCAGAAATCTGCAGAGAGAGAAATACATATTCTTCTGTTAGAGAAAAAGAGAGAGAGAGTGTATTGTGTGGCTGAGAGAGAAACGTTATAAACAATTGGATTTAGTGGCTTGTCCGTACTTTTTTTAAAGTAGCCCATAGTACTCTGTGTTTTCCAAATTTCTAACTCCCGTTTCCAAAACTCCCAAAACACCATATAGTAGTTCTCTAAGAACCCACATTCTTGCAACTCACTTTTCTAAAAACAATTGTTTAAAAACTGATCCAAGCAGTCCAAAATTGAGTTTTTTGATTTTTTGTCCCTCAAAAAACAGAAAGCTGTTTTTTTAGTGCCAATCCAAGCAAGGCCTCAGTTTCTCAGTTTTTTTAGCCCTCTATGAAAAAGAAATACTAAATGAAATATTGATAAAAACATCTCTTTGCACTTGCAGGCACTTGATCAATGTGAGATGACACTGAACCAGCTAGGTGTTGTCAGAGTTAATGCTGATGATACTGCTGGTGCTGCTCAGGTGATCTATGGAAGTCTTTCTTAACTTGCTAATTAGTTTTACGGTCAGTAACTGTTGCGGGTGTATCTAAATAAAGACTTTGGGACAGATTATAGCCTCTGATGGCCTAAGAGACACTGGAGCAGTTGCAAGTGCTAGAGCTGCAGCAATCTATGGGCTTGACATTCTTGCAGAAGGAATCCAGGTAAGGCAATTATCTCATTTTGGTAATTGTGGGTCTTCAGTTTTTACCAATGTGGTCCACTACGTCATCAACGCGTCTGTTTATCCGTGCTCTATTTGTTAGTTTTCTCCCCCTGATAAAATCAAGTAATTGTGACGCACCCCCCAAGCAGATCAAAAGTAATGGCATCCATTACATAATACGACTAGCACCTACATTGTTCTGCTTCAAGCAAATTAATTCTTGAATTTCCAGGAAATCTGGAAGTTGGAAATGACAAAATTATGGGGGGAAAAAATTTCAAATTTTCAACTTTCAATGTCATTACTTTTGTTTTTTTATTTTTTATTTTTTGTTTTTTGTTTTTTGTTTTGTTTTTTCTTTCCCTTTTTGGCGTGTTGACTTATAAGGGACAAAAATAAAATGACTGATGAGGTAGTCTTTTATTGTTTTGACTGTATTAGACAACATCTAGAAATGATTAGCAAAAAGCTACTTACTAAAAAAGAAAGATTATGCAGTTTTTTTTTTTTTTTTTGCAAAAGAAAAGAAAAAGATACAGCTCCTTTTTTATTTCTTATTTTCATTTTCAAAAACAAAACAATGGTTTTGTAAACAAAACCAAGAAACGTTAGTGCTAGCAAAGCGAAACATTTGATTATATGTGAAACTTTTCTCTCACGTGCCTTGTACTCTTTTTGTGGGATGTGTACCTTGCTTGGGTAAATGGGTACTTATATAAGGCTATGGAATGTGTAATTTGGAGTCAGTAATTTGTCATCATTACAAAGCAGCAGATAAATGTTCACACAGTGGACTTGCATTGAATTTCTCCATGTTAAGTACCTTAATCTTGATATTTGTGCTTCGGAAGATGATATATGCAAGTATCTCTTTATTGTTTATGAGTAGGTAATACATGTACGTATAAGCATGTCTGTACATATAACCTTCACTGGTGACTTATATGAGATAGATAGATAATTAAACCTTCTCTTAGATTTGTATATGAGATTCATTTCATGTCTGAAATGTCACTTTATCATCTACTTCTACTTTTGAAAAATGTAGTCAATATGATTAACGAATATTGTTATCCTTTTGGTTTTGTTGCCAATGCACTGCCAGGATGATTCCGATAATGTTTCCCGTTTTCTGATACTTGCAAGGGAACCTATAATTCCAGGAACTGACAGGCCCTATAAGGTAGTGCTTTTTATTTAGTCAAATGCACTTTCTATAAATGGTTAAAAATTCATTATTTCCTCTTTTATTTTTATTTTTATTTTACCTTTGCAGACTAGCATTGTCTTCACTCTTGAAGAAGGGCCAGGAGTACTATTCAAAGCCTTGGCAGTATTTGCTTTGAGGGGCATTAATTTGTCCAAGGTATTAAAGAGTTCTGATCGATTACTATAACTCAAACTCAAACTCAACAAAACCATGCCTGCATATTTTGGGCTAGCTACATGAATCATGTTTCCATTGTGCTCTATGTAGTGCCATAACTTTTTTGGATCCATTACTATTTTCCTATATCAAAAGTTTTTGATCATTGTCTTTTATTTCTTTCTTTTTTCACATGCAAGTTCAGATAGAGAGCCGACCGCAGAAAAAGCGTCCATTAAGGGTTGTTGATGACTCTAATAAAGGGAGTGCCAAGTGAGTGCTATTGATTTTTCTGATACATTTCCTATGTTTCCTTCTCTCCCACTTCACACCTCGGAACTCATCATTCTTATAGAAACAAAAGCGCTTTCACATCTTCTTAACCCAAAATAGCTGGGGAGAGGAAAAGTTCTTATTTTTCAGTCCCATTTGCACAAGTGATTGAATTGTGTTGGCAGGTACTTTGACTACCTTTTCTTCATTGACTTTGAAGCTTCTATGGCGGAGACTCGTGCCCAATATGCTTTAGGTCATCTGCAGGTAAGTCCATTATAGTTCATGATTTATTGGAAGTACATCATCCTTGATATTCTGTTTTCTGTGAGATTATTGAATTCCTCATTTTCAGCAAGTGGTGCTCTTAATTCAATATATTATAATTCCACTGCTGTGCATCTCAAACTGTGTGGATTATTGTGATTCCATCCGTGCCAATTGATCTTCTCTTTCCTTTATTTATTTATATGGGACAATCTTTTTCTTGTCTAATTTGTGAGTTGTAGAGTTAATTTATGAGCAAATTGGCACATTCTTCTTTCCCACTTCAAAATTGTGATATATTATTCATTTAGGGTTAGTTTATGCCTACTCCAACATGCAACCCTCTTAAGATTTCAATATGCATCCTAAGTAGTTTATGTCCGCCTGTTGTGGGTTCAAGTTGCTGATTGATGTTGTTGATTTGGATGTGACAAGGGGAGCCAGAGATAATAGTATGGCGATAGACCTAGGCGGAAACCCAAACAAACTAGAAGGAGAGAGTAAGTGGCAGCATTTTATTTCTTGAGGTTCATGCAAAGACCGAGCTTCCTAGATTCTCTGTACCTTTTCCCTTTTCCCTTTTCCCTTTTCATTGAGGAGTCCTTTTCTTGAGTGGTGAGTGCGATAAATGAAGGGGTTGAGCCTTTTATAGCATTAGGGATGTAATGACCCTTGGACAAGGACCTTCAGATAACAAGGGGTATTATGAAATAGTTATTACCAAACAGAGGCTATCGTGGTAAGCTCAAGGCTAGATGTGATTTCTTATGGTCGTCTAGGATGGCACTAATGAAGAAAGTTCATTAAATATGATGTGATACAATCAGACTGGATAGGTGAACTTTCTAAATACGACAGAACAAATGAGGTAGGCTCGGCCTTCCTCAAGACATTATGGAGTTCCCTTCTCTTTCGAATTTGTCCAAGGAGTTCCATCCTCATGGGACAGAATCACCTTGATTAATCTTGGGTTATAGCCTCTAGGGCACTCATACCCTAGGATCCCATGTTGTTACGCCTTGTTATTTTGTAATGTCTCCTGAGGCCTACTCCCTACCAGAATCAGTTCAAGGCAGTTATTTCCACTATCTTATGATTCTCAAACATTTCTCGAGGTTTATCTCCACAGGAGAGAAGGTCCTCCAGGTGAAGAATGCCTGTGGAGAAGGCTGTGAAGCTCATTTATGAGAAAGAAGTCCTCAAGGAGAGAAATGTGTGATTTACCCAAAAAAAACGGAGAGAAATGTCTGTGGAGAAGACTGAGGGTTATTTGTAAGAGAGGAAGCCCTCCACAGTTCTACGCTTGCGACTTAGCTTTTTTTTTGAAGAGATTCTCACAAAGATATATATTATATATAGGCACATGGACGTGCCTGCAGAGAAGGCCGGCCCATGGTATGTTCCTTTGGTCTGGCAAACCTCTGTCTTCAAGGTTCTACCTGTGGAGGTAGCCCTTTTCAATCCCTCCAATCATTTCCGCAAATTGGTATATTGGGGTGTAACTTCACAGTTCATGGGTTCTCTCCTATCTGTTCCTCGAGTATCCTATGCAACCATGGCCCCTCAAGTGTATATGATCTGTCCATGCTTCGTGCCATCATGTTCTTATTACTTTAGACACGTGGTAGCTTGGTCACATGCACCCATCTTGTTTAACCAGTTCTTCATAGCATGGCTGTGTTATTTCGAACCCGAAGATTTAGTATTCTAGTTGTTTGGACCTCTAAACAGATTTTGTCCTAATTTATTTATTTTTTATTTTTACGTATTTGTGTTGCTAAAGAATTATTCATGTGAGCCTTCTTGAGTTGTATTATTCATCTGCCTCTGTCATGGAAGTTCTCAAATGAATTTTTTATGTTCATTTTTAAATTTACAGTGGAAGTGTAGCTTAGCTCTGAAAAGAATTGGTATATAAAAAATAAATAAAAAACTAGTTCGTTCTTTTATTTTCTTAAACTTTCACCTCACTGCTTGGAGCATGTAAGGATGTGTTTTATTCTTTTTCGCAGGAATTTGCAAGATTTCTTCGGGTTCTTGGTTCATATCCTAGGGATACATCTTCAGTGATAGAGGCTTTTCCAAAATAATCAATCTTCATATATTTATTTGGTTTGTTGGGCTTCATCAAAGAAACAGCTCATACTAAAAGGTTGTACATTCTGTTGATCCTGTTGAAGTCAGGTGGTGGGAGGACAATTTTCCCAGCATTGAGCGAGAGTTTTGCGAAGGATAGAATCTCCTGCAGCAGGATCTTTCCAATTTTTTCGTTCTTTTACCCTCCATCCTGGCAGAGGTTTCTTGGTATGTCAGTCTCTCTAGGATAATGAATGTAGCGGCAACTTTGAACATAAACTCTCTCTTTGTTGTTCTGTATCGTGCAAGATAATGAACATTGACTATGCATCTGTTTCATTTTCTTTTCTTTTTTCTTTCCTGCTTAGGCAAACCAACTCACACACACACACACACAAATTTGCTCCACTTGGGTCCCAAACCCTCACCTCCTCTTTGGGATGGAAACGTTATACCTTACCTCCTTGACCTGCAGCCCGGTAGTATGATCCACCTACAACTTGTTACGTTGCAAAAGACAGTACCATCCAACCAGGAAAAAGTAAGTAAATGAATACTAATATCTAGTTCGTTAAACATACCATGAAGTGCTTTGAACGCTTTTTGTGATCTGCTCAAATTGAGCAAAGGGTTACATTCAGAGTTCACAGGGGAAGAAGTAAGAGAAATCAACACAAGGTTGATTTCAAATTTTCGCGTATAAGATGTCAGGATATATCAGAATATCCTAAATGAAGTTGATTCTTACAGATGAGAACAAATTGTTTCTTCATTTTACTGATTTGTTAGTTCTACCAATCTGCTACACCTTGATTTCTGATTGGTTAGTGCCTTCCCTGTCTTCGTTCTTAAAAGATACCAAACATGATAATAGCACAGAAAAATTATTTGGGACTTGGGAGCTACCAAAAATAGAACAATAATAATATATAAGCACCCACTTCAATATTATATAGATAATACAACACCACCAAAGTTTGTAAGTAGTCAAAATGTCCAGAACAGCCATGATGGTTGCTAATACTGACACACTTATTCATATAGATAATACAACAAACTTATTCATATTAGAGAGACATCAAGATTTGCATGCTTGAAGCATCACTCGAGAAAGCTTTTTCACTCCCGCCATTACTCTTTCTTATGCAGTTCCTTCAGAAAATCTTCAGTGTCAACAAGAACCTACACGTACAGCAAAAAGAACCAGAATTTAACTAGTAATTAGTTGACGGTAGTTCCTACACAAACACATTTAAATGATGAAGCTACTCCCCAACCCCATATAGCCTAATGGCAAGGCTCACTCAAGAGTTTGAATTCCAAGGGGTCAGTTTCCCGGTAATTGTGGGGTGTGTGTGAGACCGGGGGACTACATGTGCCTGGCAGTGGATTATGGGGTGCTCTAAAAGGCCCAACACCACCATCGTAAACAAAAATATATATATAGATGAAGCAACTCAATACATAGGTTTAAACATGGGATCAAATTTGTTGCTGTGAAACATCATGGGATACTCGATATTTCTACCAACACAAATAAATGGATATGATACCACACAATCAATGCATGAATTAGAGGATGGTACGAATTGAAAATGCATGTTCAAAACTCTATATTGAGCCATGACTTCATTCTCTTTCCTTGATAAGGCCAACAAAGCTTCAATGAAATGTTTATGCCCTTCTGCATTTCCAGATGCACATTGACTGAGAAGTCACTATACTATTTCTCAATTGAAAATATTATTTCAACCATGAATTTGGTATTGCACCTAAAAGGGGCTTATTTGTTGAAGAAAGAACTTACTGTTTTCCAGCCATCTGGATCTAAAAAGGAGGTAATCTTAGTGTTGAGTCCCGGAATCGGTCCAGGTTGTCGAGTTATCTTCCCTCCAAGCTCTTGTGTAACGAAGTTGACAACTTCAGCGCTTTTGTACACATCATCGGTACTGATAGCAATCTAGCAGCAGTACATCCCATAATTCAGGAAAAACAAGAAATCCATTTAAATGAAAAGAAAATTAGTCAAGTATTGAAGAAGAATTATACAAACCTGGGCATATGCATTTCCTTTGGTGTATTCAGTCACACCATAGTTATATGTCAACTCCAGAACCGTCGTCTGATCTTCAGCAGCATATCCCATCATTGCTAGAGTGAACTGAGCAGAATGCAATAGAATAAACCTCATTGATAATCAATATACCACCTGAATTCTAATTTAAAAATTATAATAAAACAATTTTCACCTTGTACTCCGGATTATCGATCTTCCTCAACAGTTTCATTCCCAAGGCCTGTGCAAATGGGAAATCGAAGAAATCGGATGTGAAAATTTGTTCAATACAATTACTTAATACAGGATGAAACAAAAGATATATCTTTTATGGACCGGACCTATAAAAGTACAAAATTTTCAAATTCCAGAATCAATTATTGCATTGCACTAGTTAACATCAGTTTCTATAATAATTAATTGATATTTAAAATTAAAAAAAATTAAAAAAAGTCTTCAAAAATAATGTTACAAAAAATGTAGTTTAAAAAAATATTACACTTAATTATATATCATTCGCAAGAACTGGGAGCCAACATGAACAATATTCCACTTTCACATCTTTGCACCAGGAAAGAACTGTAGTATACTATTGGTGCATCTTAAAAAACTTCGGCATTTTAACCCTGACCTAGATCAGACACATTTAAATCAGATCTCCAAACATAGAAAAGTTGAAGTGCAACTTGAAATCAAGTCAGAGAAAAACTAAATTAGGGTTAGATACAGTCAAAAGTTAATTTATGGAGCAAAGGTAAATCGTTATTAGTTGGTTAAAACATTCTGACGGATGAATCAGACTACAGAGATTCTTGAAGGATTCATATTGAATGAGTTTTATATATGGTTAGAAAAATTGTTTAGTTTGGCTGATCATAAAGAGCATTTTAGTAGCTTAGTATATAACATACCAAATTGGAGATCAAAGGACCTTCCCGCTTTAGTATAGATAATGAATGGTGTAAATAAAGATATCTTTTTAATTCTGTTACATGTTGTGGTAGATCTAAATCAATATCATTGTTTTCTGAAACATCATTTCTTCTGGTGCATTGTATGAAAATGGAAACATGGTGTGACAAGACTAAACTTGTAATGGGTCATAAGAAAAATGGGAACAACAAAAACGACAACAAATTTATCTGGAATGAAATTATACAGTTGAAATACAATATAGAAGAAAAATGAGAGAATTGTGTAAAGGCTTAAATGAGATGAATCACTCATTCACATCTCTAGTATTTATAGATAAAAAGGGCACATGCTCTTATTACAAGAAAGGAAACTAAATCAAATTTAAATCAAATCACAACATATTCTATGGCATATTTTATAACATAATCAAACCTCTGCTACTATTGTAAGTCATTCCATAAATCGTGGCTATCATATATGCTAACATATGCATAGTCAAGTCTCTGCTATTATGGCAAGTCATTCTATAAATCGTGGATATCATATATGCTAACACTTCCCCTCAAGTTGGTGCATGTATATCTAAAACGCCCAACTTGGATAACACATCTTCAAACACGGTCTTGCTAGCACCCTTCTTCAGAATCTACAAGTTGCAAAGTGCAAATCTGACTAGATTAAAAATGTCAATCAACAAACCAAAAATGTCTCCTCAAACCATAAACAATTAATAATGTCTCCTCAAACCGTAAACAACCAATCACGTCTCCTTAGACCGTAAACAACCAACTCGTCAGACCGTAAACAAACAACGATATATCTCCTCAGACCGTAAACAACCAACAATGTCTCCTCAGACCATTCCCCTTCACATGTTTAAAACATGATGGAAGAATCAACAATGTCTCCTCAAACCATTCCCCTTTATACATATGTTTAAAAAAAGTAGAAGAAAGAATCAATAATGTCTCCTCAGACCATAAAAAAGAAACAACTATGTCTCCTCAGACCACAAAAAAGAAACAACTATGTCTCCTCAGACTGTTTCTGAATGGGTGGGTGCTGAACTCGCAATGCCCTCATTGCAGTCGGACCACCCTGACTCTGATACCAAGTAGAAATACAATATAGAAGAAAAATTAGAAAATTGTGTAAAGACTGAATCACTCATTCACATCTCTAGTATTTATAGATAAAAAGGGCACATGTTCATATTACAAGAAAGAAAACTAAATCAAATCTAAATCAAATCACAACATATTCTAAAGCATATTCTATAGCATAATCAAACCTCTGCTAATATGGTAAGTCATTCCATAAATCGTGGCTATCATGTATGCTAACATATGCATAGTCAAGTCTCTGCTATTATGGTAAGTCATTCTATAAATCGTGGATATCATATATGCTAACATATACTATGTTCAACAATGTGCACTTCAAAATGAAAATCACTAGATGTTAACTTTATCAAATGTTATACAATAATACAAATGCCAATGCAAGATAACAATTGGAGATGCTTAGGAAGGTTGAATAAATCTATATATGGCATTAAAATCAAGGTACTAAAAAAAGGTCTTTTCCCAACCACTCACAAGTTCTCCAATTCTTCAAAAACTTTGCTCAAGTAAATTTACATTTTCCGAGTAGTTCAAGCCATAGGAGTTAGGACGAACCATATTGTTTAACGTTTATCCTTTTAGAGAATATTATATTTGATAGTTTTTATAGTCTTTCCACATATGAAAGAAAATTTCTTCTGCTTTTCTCTACAAACTATAAAAAAAAAATTACTCAAAAATAAAACCTCTTGGAAACTTTTTTCCCGATATAACATGCACGTATTCAACAAATAATAGATATGACCACATTAAAATGCTAAAACAAAATGACTTGGAAGGTAAATTCAAATGACACGTGGACTTCACACCAAAAATCAACTAAGAGAACTCTACCTTCTCGTAGAACTTGATAGAGCGATCAAGATCACCCACACGTAGCATTACTTGGCAGAGTGGTTCAGGAGTAGGACCTCTTTGGATAAGCTCAAAAAGGTAGCCATCAGGATCTTTCACGAAAGCAATGACTGTCGTTCCACCTTTAACAGGACCAGGTTCCCGTGTGACATTCCCACCCTTGGCCTTTATTTCTTCAACCAATTTGTAAACCTGATAGCAGGTAGGATGAGGAAACCAGATTTGGCACTGAAGCTAAATAATGATCCAAAATTAAACAGCAAATTAAAGCTCACATCTGGACTTGCAATAGCAAAATGTCCAAAGCCCGTTCCAATGTCATATTTATCCACTCCATAGTCTGTGAATCAGTATTTGAAAAAAGCATATAAGAAATCATATATTAGAGAGAGAACAAAATTTCAAGTTATAACCTTCTTTTTCCCTAAGATACAACTTTTAAAAGTAAAATTTCGTATGCTGACTCTAGGCTAGAGATGGTGGCACTCGTGAGTTGATCTTCATTATTTTTATAAAATCTACTTGTAGCTCACTTCATTTCATCAGCACAAATCGTGAACATCAGAAACAGATTCTACTCCTTTTGTGGAAAGGAAGGGAAAAGTATTTGGTGGATGAGAAATAGAGAGATTGAGGACGTGTTTATCAAACACACACCGAATGTATTCTGGCTAAACTTGCTCATTTGGATTGAATGGTAACCAAGCAAGAAGAAACTGTGATTCTGAAGGTCAAAACGACTCAATCACCTACTCCAGGAAGTCTGTCAAGTGGTCTAGATTTACCAATGAGACAGAATAATAGGGGATTTATATATATATAAAGGAAAATTAACTGTTAAGTGAACCAATTGTGAACAAACTGCTCACTATACCAACAAGAACATAAAAATTTATGCAAAAGATGAGAATTTATAAACAGGAAAAAACAAAAAAACAAAAAAATACAAAAAATACAAAACATACTGTATGTTAACTCCACTACAAAATGAGACTCTTCTGGACCAAATCCAAGAAAGGCATTAGAGTATTTTTCTTCTGGAATATCTCTATGCCTCAACAGCTTCATCCCAAAACATTCTGTGTAAAACCTGATAGTGATAACACATCAAAGTAAAATGAGAAACTTCGGGAATTTCAATGCAAAAATCACAACTAGATCAAAACCCTACTTTTATTTATTTTTGAGCACATAAAGTGAATGTCGTAAAGGCATACTTGATGGTGCGTTCAAGGTCACCGACACGATAAACGGCATGTAACATCCTGTGTTTGTCCTTCTTTGGCCATTCCAACAATTCATCACTTGAAACAACAGGTGCAGCCTCAGCCATGTTCAAATATAAGTGAACACCCTACTTACAATAAAAGTTGGTGTCAGAACAATATATATCAACTATTTATATTGTTATCACATCCTCTACACTTGCAGATATAAGGAAACATAAATTGATGTTCAAATCATTGCAATGATGAGGATAAGATCTAAATTCAAATACCATTATTTATTAATAATAAAAATGTCCTGACAACCAAAACAAAAAGACTCATCTTAAGTTCTACCAAGACTGATCAACTCATATGAATAAAAAATCAATCCTCATCCCTACATTTTTATAAAACATCTCCACGTCCCCAATTAAAAAAAAAAAAAAAAATGTATATATATCTCTCTATATATATTCTTCCTTCGATTGATGGCCAAAAAAACATAAATAAATACTTAAAAACCGAGCAAAAAATATTTAACAAGTATCAAAGTGATTTTTTTTTTTTTTAGGGTGTTCCAAGAATCCTCATCTTTTCCTCCTATTATCTGGCAATCAAACAAACCTATAAATTGATTTTCTTAGGGCAATTCTATAATATGATGTAAGGGGGAGAGGGAGAGAGAGAGAGAGAGAGAGAGAGGGGTAATAATAATAATAATAATATTGTGTATGTGTGTCTCCAAATTTGTTAGAACTCATCAAACCAACGAGTAGAAAAGTGTAAAACCCATATTTTGGAAACAGAGGAGACTGAAGCTCATATTTGGAATATTACAGCAAAAGATGCTTCTTTTACCTACCAATCAATTATTAACCATAGAGAAAACTCAGCATTCATTTACAAGTTTGAATCACTATTTTTGTGTCATTTATTTTTTTAAAAATTTGAAAATGCCAAAGTTGAGCTCATTAGGGTACAATTCACAAGCCCTCTTACTTAAATCAACCAAAAAATATATATATTTAACAACAACAAATACAATATATATATACATATGCCGTTGCACACACACAATGTAAATGTGTATTTGTTGCAGAGAGAGAGAGAGAGAGAGAGTATACCAGAGAGTGAGAGCGAAGAAGAATAGAGGAGAAGCGCTAGAAACGATCGTGTGAGCACTTCACAGTTCACATGTATATACACACAATAGTAACAATATTATAATTTTCAATATATATATATATATATATATATATATATATTACTTATCTTCTTCGCTGGGGGAAGCTACAGTTACAGAAGCTCATCACTGTTTCTGTGACAGACAAAAAATAAATTCCAAATCAGGAGACCAAAATTGACAAACAACGAATGACCGGTATTGGTTACAAGTGAATCCCATCATATACGCTGATTCCACTAAGATTTGACTCGTGGTTGTAACTCTTAGCTAACGTTCTAATTATCACAGTCAAATGTCTTGTATAGTTTTTTTTTTTGCCGTGTGACGTGTCAGAAGAACAGTGGCTAACTAGTGAGGCAAAGCCTTTTTTATACATCAAATTATCAATTTTTGGCAATGAAGCATTTTATTTTAGTAATTTAAAATTTTAATGTCCATCAATATGTTTTTCAGATGAGTGGCGTCCAACTTCATGCTGGTAGATGAAAAGTTGTGGCTAGTAGGTGGCCACTTTTTGAAAAGCATGTTGTGTTTATTTTGGACATACATTTTAGCTTTGATTCCCGTTTCCCAGCCTACAATCATTGTGTCAAGGTTGGATGCATCCGAGGGGGAATTATTGCGTAATCCTAGTCCACCAGGTGAGATATCTTATTTGGTGGACTAGATCATATAACGAAGGCAAAATGACTACTTATAGATAAGCTGTCGTGTTAACACCAAAAGTTGAAAAAACTTAACCACTTATTATCCTGCGTGTTGCATCTGTTGACCCTAAAATCGCTCTTTAGATTCGATTTGGAATTGATGTGGTGTGAGCGTGTCAGAATCAATATTGTGATTTGAGTGTGAGTTGTCAAAATTAGTATCTTTGGGAATGTTAACTTTCAGGCGATGCGAGAATAAAGAGAACAGTAAAACTGTTCTTTTGAGTTCAAGAATTACCTTAGTTAAAATGACTTTATAATGAATAATTTATAGTAACAATTGAGAGAATAGAAATGTGAGAAAAATAGATAGATATAGAAAGAAATATAGAGAGAAAAAATGGCAGAGAAATATAACGAGATATTGAGAGGATAGATAGAGATAGAGAAGAAATAGCAAGGATGTTATTCTAGGAAAAGTTGAGAAAACAAATAAATAAATTAAAGGATTCTGAGGGTGCTGGACCTTTTACAAAGCATGCCTTTAGCATTATTTATAAAAAAAATTACGTAAAACAAACTCCTACACACAAGCACTTTACTTGCATTACAATTCTATCACAACTAACTAAAAATTCAAAATAAACTAATCCTATAAATAACATAATTATGCAACTAAAAATAACTAAAATATAAGTCTTAAAATAATAATCTTTATCCACAACTTATTCAAAATACTCTTCCCATTTTTGCATGCAATTTCAACTTCAATCTACGTGGAATATCACCCTTCTCCACTACCACGTCATCAATACAAAATTTACCAAAATGGGTGTCAACAATGCCCCAATTTTAAATGTCCTATCGGCTGTCGGCCGCCCAAACCGATAAGATATTTGAAATTTTAAAATATATTAGAAGGAAATTTTAAGTTAATCAATTGGAATAAAATTACAAATCAACGAGCTCCAAAACTTTATTTCTTCTGAATCACCCCTAAGATGTTATTTATTTAGCCAAATCTGCCGATTTAGGCTTCTTCCTAGATTCTTAGAAAGTTTGCCAATATCACTTGCCCAGAAACCCAGGAAGGACTTACCCACCATATGTTTTCTAACTCCGCTAGCAAATCATGATCATGATCGGTAGGAATTAAATTATTGTGAAGCGTCATTCTAGCCGATCTGCCTATTATCTCTACTAGATTAATGACATTGTGCCAGCAAGGAGTTCTCTTAGCTGATTTCCTTCCAGCCAGTTTCATTTCAGACGATTTTGCCTTCAGCTCAATCGGCAGGACTGCATTATACCCAAAAGTCCATTGATCAGCAAACATGACCTCACTATAATTGGCAGGCTGAAGTAGAGGGTATGAATCAAGTAACTTTTGTTGGGGGTTTGCAATCACATGCCCCACGGCAGCCGCTAATAGTGTTGGTGGACTTTGCTGAACTACCTCGGCCTGGATTAGGGCTAAAGCCTGAGCCATCATTGCTTTAATCTCCCGATTCTCCTGCCGATAATCGGCAAGTGCCTTATTAAATTCTCCCATTTGGAGATTTAGTTGGGATCTTATTTCTCCCATTTGTTGATTTACCACCTGCCGATAATCAATAAGTGCCTCTTTAAATTCTCCCATTTGGAGATTTAGTTGGGATCTTATTTCTCCCACTTGTTGATTTACCATTTACCGATAATCGGCTGCTAGAACATGTCGATAATCGACTGCTGGAAGATGCCGATAATCGGCTGTTGGAAGATGCTGATAATTAGGGGTTGTTGGCGTCTTCTGATAATCGACTGCTGGAACATACCGATAATCAGTTGCTAGAACATGCTGATAATCGACGGCTGCTTGAACATGCCGATAATCGACTATTGGAACATACCGATAATTAGTTGTTGGAATATGCCGGTAATCAATTGCTGGAACATACCGATAATCGGCGACTGCTAGAACATGCCGATAATCATCTAGCCAACCATATGGCTTATTAGAATACTGATACATTGGCTGAGAAGCCGACTGCATATTTTGTATTATAAATCACTCACCTAGTGGAGTCCCACCGCGCGTGCCAAGAATGTTAACGCTAAAATCGATTCCTTAGATCCGATTCGGAATTGATGTGGTACGGGCGTGCCAGAACCAATATTGTGGTTCGAGTGTGAGTTGTCAACGTTAGTCTCTTTGGGAAGGTTGACTTTTAGGCGATGCGAGGATAAAGAGAACGGTAAAACTCCTCTTTTGAGTTCAAGAATTGCCTTAGTTAAAATGACTTTACAATGAATAATTTATAGTAACAGTTGAGAGAATAGAAAGGGGAGAGAAATAAATATAGAAAGAAATATAGAGAGAAAGATTGAGAGAGAGAGAGAGAAATAGAAGAAGATATTGAGAAGACAGATAAAGATAGAGAAGAAATAGCAAGGATACTATTCTAGGAAAGGCTTGAGAAAATAAACAAATAAATTAAAGGATTTTGAGGGTGCTGGACCTCTTACAAAGCATGCCTTTAGTATTATTTATAGAAAACTACGTAAAACAAACTCATACACACAAACACTTTACTTGCATTACAACTCTATCACAACTAATTAAAAAATCAAAAATAAACTAATCCTATAGATAATATAATTATGTAACTAAAACTTACTAAAATATAAGTCTTAAAACAATAATCTTTATCCACAACTTATTCAAAATACTCTTCCTATCTTTGCATACAATTTCAACTTCAATCTACGTGGAATATCACCATTCTCCACTGCCACGTCATCAATACAAAATTTACCAAAATGGGTGTCAACAGCATCATCCAAAGTTCTCTTTGGTTTCATTTTCCCTTTTTTTGCATCATCCAAAGTTCATCTTTCTCTCTCTAAACCATTCCATCTAACCTACCCAACCTCCATCTTTATCTAACAAATTCTTCTTTTAAACCCAACAAAAACTCTGTGCTTTGTTTTTCCTCTTTCACCCGTAATCATCAACATAACAAAATTTCTTGCTCTATTATTCCTCGTTCACCCATAAGCATCCCAGTTACATTCCTGCTCTATTATTTTTATATTATTGATATTATTATCCTGTTCTATTCCTCTTTCACCCATAAGCATCTCGGTCTCGTTCTTTCATGTCAAAGCAGGATGATCGAGAACATTGAGTTTTTGTTTTTGCTTTCATGTTTTGGCCTTTCAGTCTTAGACTTGGATTTTTTTCTTTGATAATGGAGTTTACTCCATTTCTTGGCTTGTATTAAAATTGAATCGACGTCTGAAACGAAATGGGATTTTGAATCCTTTTGTAATTATACCATTTTGCTTTATATATAAAAACAAAAAACATCCCATTCAGGAAAAAAAAAAAAAAAAAAAAAAAAAAAAAAAAAAACCTGAAATTAAGAGAATTTTCAATCTGGTCGAATTCTAGATTTCATGATTTAGAATTTGAAGTTGTGGTAAATCTCCAAGTCCAAAAGACTATATATATATCACACACATGTATATATATATATATGGTTAAATATGTGATGAGTGGGTTGAACATCACATATTTAACTGTAAAATATTAAAAATATAAATTTAAGCTACATGAAATAAAAGGAATTTCAACTTGCTTATATGAGCATTATTGACAGACAAATTGATTTTATATTGGGTTATGTTTTAGCTTCTATGTATTCCTCTTTTTATTTATATACATAATTTTTCATCTCAGTTATGATTTTTTCTTTTCTTATAATGTGATTTCAAATAAGATGTTGAATGAAAATTTTAATAATACATTGTATCATATCCTGATTCACATAATAATCTTTGATAAAAATAAATAACAAAATTTGTTAATAGACATCTTTAAACTCAAAATTATAGTTTTCTTTCTCATTATCTTCATTTGAACCTAATATGACACATTGAGGTTGCTTTAATTAAAGAATGTTTTAACATTATTATAATTTTGATCTTATGCCATACAACCCTAATGGAAAAATCATCATGCACCAATGAAAAATCATTAATGTTGACAATGATAACAACCCTTATGTCACACATCAGAGTGATGATAGTTTTGATCTAAAAGTTGGAATGCTGGTATATAGCGAGGAAGAAGCTTATAATCTCTATAATAGGTATGCTATAAACAAAAGGGTTTAGTGTGCGGAAAGGCAAAGTTCGGAGGTATGAAGGCACAGGTGGTTTGCGATAACGCATCTTTTTGTTTTCATGTGAAGGATTTAAAGAAGATAGTTCACCTTTTGAAGATAAAAAGTTTGAAAGAATGCTAACTGGGACTGGTTGCAAAGCTCGTGTTGTATTTAGTGTGGAAAATGGTGTTTGGGAATTGGTTAAGTTCATTTCTGAACATAACCATGCACTTGCAAAGCCTGAGCA